CTCTTGCCTATTTAATAAAGGCATAATGGGACAACTTTAATCAATAAATGTAATTTATTGTTTATATTTTTAAAAGATTAGTATTTATTTATTAAAATTTTAAATAGAATTTAAAATTCTTATATTTGAAAATAGAATTTATTTCATTTTAAAAATAAATTCTTATATTTGAAATCCTATTTCTTACTATATTATAAAATTAGTTAAAGTCTTTAATAACTTCTAAATAAATTTATCTAATAAATCTTTTAAAATTCTCAAAAAAAAATCTTTAAATAATTTTCAATAAATTATCAATAAATATTGAATAAATGCTCAATGATATTTTTAAAATATTCAATAAATACTAGATAAATATAAAACTTTAAAATCCATATACGATTATATTTTCAATAATAAACTTTCCTTTTAATGTAATTATGTTTCAATCTAATTTCAGTTACTTCAATTATTTTAATATAGAGTCAATTATAAATATTTAATATATATTTTAAAATTCTTAATAACTATAAATAAATACCTAATAAAACTTTAAAAATCTTAAATAAATACTAAAACATAAATGATCTCACATTTCAATTTAAATAGTATACTAACCTCTCGAGTCACGGAACCATCCTCAGAGCATAAAAAATCAAATATTTTAAATGTAAGTATGGGCTTTTTTTTTTTTCTTTTTTTTTTTGAAAAATATTACATTGGGCGGGTTCAAACCCTGCCCAAGGGGGAGGGTGGGAGGCATCTCAATATTCTAGAAAATCTTAACTTATTTCATGTCTTCTAGTTGAAGAATTCTTCATTACAATAATAAAATACTACATCAGTAGTATTCTAATCAATAAAATATTTATAAGTTATAAGATTCTCTTTCCATCATATTTATTAAAGGTTTCTTAGTTCTTGTTAATTATGATTTCCACAAAAGACTAAATTATAAAAAATTATTAATTGTCACATATCAACTATTAATTATGAATTTTCTTGAAATAGCTAAATAGGGCAAGAACTATTGACTTTATTTTTCTAATGAATTGATTTTTGTTCAGCCATTTTCATTGCCTAAATCATAACTTGTGAAGTGTCTTCTCAATTGTTCTACCATGCCACTAATAAATTTTAAACAAGTAGATACATATAATATCATAGGTAAATTCCTAAATTAAAAAAACCAATTATATAATGATGCATTTATAAACTTATAAAGTTATAATGTCTACCATTTATCATTATTCTTTTCAAGAACAAGGAGGATACTTTCTCCTTTCCTTTCCAACAATGCTATAGTTATAATGACTTGTATAAATGTAACCTTACAATCATGACATAACATTAAATAAATATGATATAGTGACATTAAACAAGCAGATACATATAATATTAGAAGTAAATTCCTAAATTAAAAGAGCCAATTATATAATGACACATCTATAAACTTATAATGTCACATGGTATTATAATTACAAGTATTAGAGCAATTAATGTTTCACTTTTTTCTTT